AGTGCACCTTTATAGCCACCCAGTTATGTTGTGACGTTTGGCTCACCCAAAGCATTCCTACGGTATCCGGGAGTTGCACAATCTCATGGTCTAAGGAAATGATACTTGACATTAGAAAAGCTTTAGCATACGAACTACACGATCTTGTGCTAGGCTTAGGATTGGGTCTTGTCCATCACATCATTCTCCTAATGATGTGATCCCGTTATCAATGACATCCAATGTCCATGGTCAGGAAACCATGACCATCTATTGATCAACGAGCTAGTCAACTAGAGGCTTACTAGGGACATGTTATGGTCTATGTATTCACACATGTATTATGGTTTCCGGTTAATACAATTATAGCATGAACAATAGACAATTATCATGAACAAGGAAATACAATAATAACCATTTTATTATTGCCTCTAGGGCATACTTCCGACATCACATACGGTGCAGCGGGAGCAGCACCGCCGATGTTGACGTTGTCGCCCATGTCGTCGAGGATGAGGTTGCCGAGGTCGGGGAAGAAGTCGTCGTTCATGAAGTCGTCGCTGCGAGCAGTCGCGCGAGTGCGCTCCCCAAAAACCTGATCTCCCCTCTCCCGTACAGGATCACGAGAGGCGGGGTTCCGGAGGCCTGCTGTCCCTTCTCCCGGTGCACGCCGAAAGGAGGGATGGAGAAGACTTGCTTGGCGGCGCAATGATCTGGAACGGTGGTGAGAAACCATACGAAGCGGCGGCGGCTAGGGTAGACGTCTGCCTGACTATATAGTGCGGGTCGGGTAGGTCGTGGGAGTAAACCCCACGTCCGAGTCGTCACGATCCAAAAGAATCGGAAACAGTTCAGTAATTAACGCGTCCGTTAATTATTAATTAATGACTCATTAATTTTTCCCGAGCAGCAAAAATATAGACAACGTGCATAGCTCTGTCCTCGGCTCGGCGCAATCCCGCGTCGTGACGAGGCGTGGCGTGGCGAGGCGAGCGTGGAGGAGGAGCGCGCGTGTAGGTCTCCTCTTCTCATGCTCATACAAGTGGTAGAAGAGCTCACCTTATAAAGAGGTGCAACTCTCTCTCAACTTCCGGGGTGGGACTAAACTTTAGTCTCACTTACTCCACTCACATGTGTGCATGAATGGGCCAAGAGAATTTCAGAATTTTTAGTTGGGCTTTGGGCCAAAGGCCTACTAGCAAAATTCCAACAGGCCGTGTCGGGCCTCCCGCCACTCCACATCATCATTGTGCTCTCCACTTAACATTGTCATGAGAGAGACTTTCAACCTCCCACAACAAGACGTGGCTAAGTTTGAATTTTTTTTCCGGGACACCTTGGAAAATTCGTGATCAAGAAATGCATATTAAACTCCTTGATGATGAAGTGGAGCATGTGTGAGTGCACCATGGAAACCGAATAGAAAACCATCTCTGGATAAACTGAAATGAATTTGAACTATGTAATTTAAAAAGATTATATTTGAATTGTGATATTTATCTTTAATTTTTTATCGTGTGGTACACTGATACTTATCTTCAAATTATTTAAACAATAAATCAATGTTGAAGTGGAAAATGTGAGTTTGCTTAAAAAGGGGGATGAGCAAGTAGGGTACGTCATTGGTACTCCCTCTGTGAATTTAGATCACTTTATCCCCCCGAACAAGTAGTGGATGTCCGTGGGTGTAACGGGATTAGATAAATACCTTTGGAGATGTCCTAAGTAGTTTATACCATCATAGGTTGACATGGTTCCCAGACGCGCCCTAAGAACATGGCCATTGTCGGTCAAAACTTGGTGCTAAACATTGTGGAGTGAGGTGCCAAGGAAATTTTTTGGCTAGAGTCGACTCTAAAAGAGAGTTGACTATATGTGAGGTCCAAGCTGACTCAAATTGTGAGAGAGACAGGATGGCAAATAAATACTCCCTCCGTTCCATAATGTAGTGTGTATAGAATTTCTGAAAATTCAAGCTTTGCAAACATTGACTAAGTTTATAGATAAAACTATTATACATGCAATATCAAATATATAAATATGTAGCTATATCTTACCATCAATCTAACAGTATGTGTTTGACAGTTTAGATGTAAACATTTTTCTCCATAAACCTGATCAAAGTTTGCGAGGTTTGACTTTAAAAATATTATATGCACTAAATTATTGAACGGAGAGAGTATAACATTATGACATGTGGGCCCAAAAATAGTTAGCTACGAAAAAGTTTAACGTTAGAGTAAATTTAGTTTTTCTAGAACCAAGTTGTAGCAATTTTCTTAGAACCAATGACACATTGTTCATGCTCTGCTCTAATGATCCAAAGTTCTTGTCTCTGCAATCAACAGACAATCGCCGTCATATCATTGTACCATGCCATCGACTCAACGGCACTCATCTTCCCCCGGCCCGGAGAAGCCGGGGAAACCATGTGTACACAGCTGGTGCAAGCACCACACGAACTACTTTAATGCTCGCGTTCGTGTGGGCTGCTTACCTTTTATTTACGTACCTCAGCAGCCGATGGAGTATTAAACCACAGGCAAAGTTGTGCATGTCAACCATAGATAAATTTGGGTTACTCTATTGGCCGGACTCATCGATTGATCGTGCAACACTAAAAAATGAGCGCATGTTGCACACTTGCATGGAGACGACCAGATCCGGGTACAAAGGCGACGAACTAGCTAACCATGACTTTATCCCTTGGTTGCTACTGATCTGGAATGCGCAACAAAAAAAATGCTGATCTGGAATGGGATAGTCTCTCCAACGGCTGTTTGACTTTGAATAACGCATTGCCAATAATCCTTTTTTTTTGGCGAAAATGATTCGTATATATCATTAAACTTTATTGAAAGTACAAAGCATCTCAAACATAATAAAAATACATCAAAATTCCAAGATCACCGAAAATACAAAACTTCTTATTTGAAACATACATTGCTTTGCTCTTTAGTCCTTCGGTTGTTCGACAATAGTTCACTTTTCAGCAGTTCATCTCGTCAGTGATCGTCACATTGGGTTGTCCGGATACATCATTCTACGAGCACAAGAAGAGTAGCAGTAGTGGTGGTGTGCATATAAGCAACAAGCTGCCGACAATGAACGGCGGCGTGCAGCACGACATGAGCCCGAGATGACGAGAAGGGTAACAACATCGGTGGCCTGGAGCTGCAGCAGTAAGCTTCCGACACGATTGGCAATCGGCTTCGATGGAGAAGCTGAGAAGGGGAAGAAGCCGATTTGGGTACCTCATTTTGAAATCCACATGACGCGGCTTCCCACCTCAGCCCAAATCCACTGTTTTGACGTTTAGTGAAAAGTTTAGCATGAAATGAAACATTTCATGATTTGACCTTTTTGCTACGTCCAATCACTAAAAGGTCAATATCATGAAATAGTTTCAGACCGTGTGATAGTTTTCAACTAGCGCTATTTCGTGCTAAACTTTTCCACTAAAGGTCAAAAACAGTGATTTCGATCCTTCCCCTCTACGATCCGCAAGGTCATGAAATTCGTTGAGATGCTCTACTATCGCAGGCGAGCCACGGCAGTTGACCCGAGGCGCCGGTGGCCGGCCGGCTTCGCCAGATGCCGCAGCAGAGGAAAAAAGGGCGACCGCTTTTCCAAAAGCGAACCCCGGGCTTCACACCCCCAACCCGCACGCCGCGGTCCGCGGCGTACTCTACTCTACCAGTCCACCATACTCCGTCCCAGGGGCAGCCTGGTAATTACGCCACCGCGGCGGAGAGAGAAAGGGAGGGGACTGACTGACTATTTCTTTTACCCTCGCCACGACTGTACACGGGCGGCCATGGCAGAAGCAGGGGCGAAGTTTCTCCCCCATTTGGCCGCCGGTCTCCGCCTATATATACCCCGCCCGCACGCGCCTCCTTCCCTGGCCAGACCGAGCTGCTCTTCCTCCTCCAGTCCAGACGTGGCGGTTTGACTTTCTGACCTCGGAACCGATCGAAGGCGCCTCCCGTGGGGAAAATCCCCGGACGATTCTTGGAGAAGAAACCGCGGATTCAGGGCCGGCGGAGGAGAGCGCGCCCCGCCGTTACTAGGATTTGTGCCCCCGCTCTCGCTCCGATCGAGGAGGTAATCCCCGCTGCTCCCTTCGGTCGCCCCTCTCAGTTCAATTTCGTGGAGGACCCGTGGGGATTCCGTCGCTGTTCTTCTTCTGCTCGTCTCGCGCCGTGATCCCACGGAAATTCAGTGAGATGTCGGTGCGCTTAGTTGGTTTCAGTTTCGGGGATTTGGATGTTGAGGAGCTCTGTGTTCTCCTCTGATGTGCGTTTTAGCCATAAACAAATTGTAGTTTTGGTATTGCTAGCCAAAGCATTTCTGCAGGTTGCGTCTGCGGTTCAGGGGTCTAGCGATCTGTCAGGGCTCTGTGCTTGAGCTGTAATTGGTAATCTTGCTGTCCCCGGAAGCTGAATCTGGATAGATTTAGTTCTGCTGTTGCAGTACAAAATCTCAATTCTGGACGAAGAAGTGGCGCAGAGGGAGCTAGCGTGGGTCGCTGTTATTGATTTCGTACTTGCAGTCCACCCTTGTGGGCGGCTTCTTTGTCCCGGCGTTCTGCCATGGTCCACACTAGAGTTTCGTGAAGGTGACAGATTTGCACAGGAAGTCGATTTCCAGATTATTTTTTTCTATAAGCATGTGTGTTCTGCCCACACTGGACATTTGGGGGACACTTTTAAGTATTTGGAAGTCTCACACTTCAAAGCTTAGGTTTGCATCTCTGAAGAAAGGTGTGGAAACTTGGTTGCAGAATAAAGGAAGTTGCATTTTGTTGGTTTATCTTTCTCATTTGAGGGTAGGGATATAGGTGGTCCTTGAATAGTTTGGAGCCCGAAAGATCTCAATCCATTAGTTAGTACATGGATGGGGCTTCCTTTTTGTAGAACATAATGAGTTATGGTTTTTCACATGATTTTCGTTCTGATGTAGCCAACTGTCTATTCTTCTGTCAAGGCATAACTTAATTTCAATTTTTGTTCTACAGTGCAATGAAGGCACCATCGCTTCTTGTTCAGTGTTTCCCTGGCTTGCTTCCAAGCAAGGCCACTAGTTGTGTGCCGATTATATCAGAGAGGGATCTGCATCTACCATCACCAGCTGTTGAACTAATCCCTTCAAAGGTAATACTTGTTTGATCATTCATACATGAAACCCCAAATGGCTATACTATTTTTGTTTTACAAAGGGCGTTCTGAACTGTTGATTGGTAAAATAAAGTATGTCTTGAATTTTTTCAGAGTGCTCATCCTTACAAATATGCTGGAGAGAAGGTCGATGTCCAAGGTCTTGATGTTTTCAAGGTGAATAGCTCATGCAAATTTCCTAATATTCCGGCTGGCACTAAATTTTGTGTCGTTCCGCTAGTAATTGCTCGAACTTTTAAATTATTGATTCTAAATTTCAATGCATGGCTTCTTCTTTTGGTTCAGGGGAAGGTCAGTGTAGCAGATATGATAGCCTTTTCCCCTTCTGAAGTAGCATCATCAAAGCATGATGGTAAGTTGGCCACTACATATGCAATATTTCCTCCTTTGTATTTTAAAATGGAAAGCTTATTCATCATTGTGTTTCTTTTCTCAGGTAGTCTCAAATATTGGGAGAGTTCCATCACTATTGTGAATATTATTAAGAATGAGATCCGTGATGGGCAGCTGAGCTTCAGGGGCAAGCGAGTTCTAGAGGTAATTTCCCATTCTACAGATTTCATCTAAATGGTGCTCTGCTTTCTTACTAGGTGTCTGTTCCTGATTTTGCTTCCATAGAAGCAGAATGTGTGCCACACAGTCTGGTATCCTGCATAAGACTAGTGTTAGGTGCTTAGGTTATTCCGTTTTTTAGGGAAAAGTTATTTTGGGCTTGATATCTATGTACTCAAAGGAGCTGCTAAATTCACTGTCAACTATACTACCCTAGCACTCATATATTTTCATACAGGACTCTCAGCCTGTACCATTTTTTTTTATTCTTAATGCTTTCATGAATCATTAATTTATTTTGGCAATTTGTGCAGCTTGGATGTGGATCTGGCCTTGCTGGGATTTTTGCCTGCTTGAAGGTGTGTCATCTCTCCATGGTTTATGGTGTTTATCTAAATTATTAACTTATTGTTTTGATAATAAATTTACGGTTCCCTTCAATTTTGGAAATGCATGTTTGTACCTTCTCTTGTCATACTTCAAGTGATGTACTGGTGTATTGATTTCTTGCTTAAATGCCACTACAGGGTGCATCTATAGTTCACTTCCAGGACACAAATGCAGAAACCATAAGATGCAGAACAATGCCCAATGTGCTTGCGAATCTTGAGCAGGCTCGGGACAGGCAGAACAGACCATCAGAGAGCCCGGTTACACCATCCAGACAGTTGTTAGCTCCCGTTGTCCATTTCTATGCCGGGGAGTGGGATGAGCTCCCCACAATTCTCTCAGTTGTGCATCCACCTGCACAACCAACAAACCTTAGCTTCTCTGAGGATGATTTTATGGATGGCTGCAGTAGCCATGACGGAAGCAGTATAGTTGGTCAGGACCCCAGGCGATCGAGGAAGCTTTCTGGCAGCCGTGCATGGGAGAGGGCCAGCGAGACCGACCCAGCAGATGGAGGGTACGATGTAATTTTGATTTCTGAGATCCCTAATGCGGTGAACTCTCTAAGGAAGCTCTATGCCCTTATCACTAAGGTCAGTTCCTCCCATCATCACCTTCTCATGTGTCATATGTTACCTTGTGCATGTAGCCGATGGAGCACGGTACGATTTACTTATTCCAAGTATTTAACTGTGCATGTTACGCTTGCAGTGCCTACGCCCTCCTTATGGAGTCTTGTATGTGGCTTCAAAGAAGAACATGGTTGGTTCAAGCGGGGGCGCAAGGCAGCTTAAAAGTTTGATGGAGGAGGAAGGTGTCCTTGGTGGTCACTTCTTGACTGAGATATCTGACCGGGAGATATGGAAGTTCTTTTTCAAGTAAACCGGCAAATGTTGGGACTGAAAAAGATGATCCCGGCCATGGCCTCGTATACAAAAAGAATTCATTTGTCTACTCGCAGCGCTGTACATACCGCGAAGCTTAGTTCGATTAATTCTTTGGTGATAGGTTCAAGTATGGGCCTCAGTTGTTAAACCTGCAAATGTGTTGGCATTTTAACCCTTCTGTAGATCTCCTATCTCCTAGGTGACTGTATTGAGCTTTGCATACCGAATCTATGGTGCTGGCATATCACACCACGCTATCAGCAATATGTACAAATGGAAATGGTTACTGTACTTGCTTGTCGGTCTTACTTGAATCGTGTCTTGCTGAAATCTGGTAGAGCTGGTCGTGTCTTTGTTTTGAGAGCTTGTTCTTTCTTTAAGGATGAAATATTTTATTATACTAGTAGTTCAGATTTAAGGAAGCACAGCCTCAACAAAAGACTTGTCATGCGCATGCATAATTAAGCTAGGGATCTGTCAGATCTGTTTTTTTCTAAGGAAATTTGTTGGCTACACCATAAATCGGTACAATGATTTGAGTTCATGTCAACAAACCCGATCTTCTCATGAATGATTTGAGTTTGTGTATCAGTATAGTGTATGATAGTGCAAGTGTTGCGTGTGTTTGCCATGAACTCTTATATGCGAACAAAACAAATTTGGTAATACTCTGCCAGATTTCAGGTTTTGGCAAAACCCCTTAAGGTTCGAACTCTGTGGTGCGCACGAAGATCTCTCCTCCCCCTAGCTCACGCTCTCATCACAATTTCAAAGCTCAGCACGTCGAACTCGCAGAACAAAGGACACATGGCTTATATTGGTTCCGGTCATCGATGCGGTGTAATACCCTACTTCAGTGTGGTGTGGTGGATTGCTTCTTGGGCTGAGGATGAACGAGTACAAGAGAAGAACAACCTTCTGAGGAGAGGTGTCCTTGAGCTCGGTGAGCTTGTGTGGTTGGGGATGATCTGAATGGTCCGAGATCCAAGATGCTCCCTCCCTACTGTGGTGGCTAGTCCTATTTATAGAGGCTTTGATCCTCTTTCCAAATATAGGGGGTAAGGGATCCAACAACGGCCAAATTTGAAGAGAGACAACTACTGCAAGTTATCCTGACAAAAAGTGGTCTTTGCCTACCAAAGGCTTTGGTGGTGACGCCGTCCTGGGCTCCACGGTGGCATCCATCTCGCTGTCCTACTGGTCTTGGTCTTGTTGCACCGATATGGAAACCTTTGTCCGATGCCTCGGGACTCCTCGCCTGCGCTTGCCTCTTTAGCACCAAAGAGGAAACGAGTACACTGCGCGCACTGGCGCCCGCCTGGCGCCTGATGAAGCTATGTACCTAGGATAGGGGCATGGACCTGTCCTAAGTACCCTACCCAAGGACATCCCTAGAAGAAGTCACCTTTCAATCGACTTGGAGGTATCCCACTCGACAGATTCAAGACACTCGACCACGAAGCAATCACTCGACCAAAGTCCAACCACTCGACTGCCAGGAGATCTAAAGTCACCCTGCACGCAAACGGTCGGTCATTAAGTAGCTTTTATGATCATCATAGCACTTTATTAGGGGCGTTACCAGTAACCCTCAGTCTTAATGTACTTTAAACCTTGCATTACTGAGGGCTGGAGGGGCCTGGCGAACTCTATATAGGCCACCCCCTCCTCAGTATCAAGGGTTGGCACCCCTGTTACTCATACACACATAATTCAGTCGACCGTCTCCGGGCACCGAGACGTAGGGTTGTTACTTTTTCCGAGAAGGGCCTGAACTCGTAATCCTCGTGTGCTTACAACTCCTCCATAGCTAAGATCTAGCCTCTCCACACATACCCCCCTACATCACTGTTAGAGTTAGAACCACGACAGTTGGCGCCCACCGTGGGGCTAGGAGTCTTAGCGCCTAGTTTGAGAAGTTGCGATTTTTTCCGATCTCCTTGATCATGGTTTCGGGCGGAGCTTTGGTGGAGGGCCGCGAGATCCGTCTCGGCGCGCTCACGTTCATCGCCGACGACTCCGCTTGGCTTCAGGAGGCTCCACTCGACGTCGACGCGCTCCCCGTCCGCGGGGCGACGCACTTTCGCGCATGCGTCCGTGGTGTCCTCCCGCGGCAGCCGTCGACCCAGTATCGGTCGGCTCCCATGGCATCTCCCTACCCTGTTTCTCACCGGCGCAAGCGCTCCGGTCGGTCGAGGCTTCAGAGGTGGGTGAGGCATGCGGTGGCCCGCCAGTCGGCCACCCCACAAGTCGCGGCAATCGAGCCTGACGAATCCCTCTACGGTCTGTTCGACCTGTCGACTGGCTCCGCAGAGACCGCATCCGAATGCGACAGCAGTGACCCAGCAGCAGAGGTTCTGGTGATCGACGGGCCACATAGTCCTCCCGGTTTCCCCCACGCTGACGGAGGCGCGGATGGGGGCGACCCGTCGCGTCCTCACGAGGAGTATCTCCCCGAGCCTCTCACGTCGTTGCAGTGGGAGGAACTTCACCGTCGGAACATGGATGCACTCCACACTCCTATCGTTGGAGAAACCCCCGAGGCCCGAGCCTTGGAGGACGCGCGCTTGGCTAACTTGGCCGAGCGCACTCGACTGGAGAATCTCTAGCGAATACTCGACGGGCGAGCGCGTCAACGGGCTCCAGAATCCAGTCGACGTCAACTCTTTCCGCCCCCACAGGTATATCGTACTCTGATTCAGAATTTGGCGGCTGCGGTCCGTATAGCAGAGTCGATTCAGCCCTCCCAGTCAAAGGCTGGCAGAGGCTTGTTGCAAATCAGAGCATTGCTCCGGGCAGCGGGAGACCAGAATTCCGCTGTTTCTCAGTCGCAGAACAGGATCCACAGTCGATCCGTTGTAGCGGATACAGTCCAGTCGGCTCACAGCCCAAGATCGCCTCCGAGGCGTGAGGGACGTGGAGACCGGCGTGATCAGTACAGAAGGAATGAGCAGTATGATCACCGATTCGATCGTGATGAACGACGTCGAGTGCCAACCCCTCCCCTGAGGAGTGGATCATATGTGCCTCGACAGCAGGTGGACAGACGCCCTCATAGTGTTGGGCGGAGAATTCCAGTCGACCCCAGGGAACCATGCTTTGATGCGAGATCCATTCTCGTTCAAGGTTTGGTCGACAGGAATAGAGCTCATCGAGAAGGCCACGACAGAGATGCGCCTACCAGTAGCAGAGTACATGTTTCAGGGCCGGAGTGTTTCAGTCGAGCCATCAGAGCCGCTGTAATTCCTCCCAACTTCAGGTTGGCGACTGGAGTTAGTAAGTTCACCGGTGAGTCCAAGCCCGATACTTGGCTCGAAGATTACCGAGTGGCTGTCCAGATTGGCAGTGGGAACGATGAGGTAGCCATGAAGCACCTGCCTCTCATGTTAGAAGGCTCGGCCAGAGCGTGGCAGAATCAATTAGCACCCAGCAGCATTTACACTTGGGAGGATCTCTCCCGAGTGTTTGTCACCACATTTGAAGGAACATGCAAGCGACCTGCAGGCCTTACGGAATTGCGGTCTTGCGTGCAGAAACCGAATGAAACTCTGAGGGATTACATCTAGAGGTGGATCACATTGCATCACACAGTTGAAAATGTACCAGATCATCAAGCAGTTTGTGCCTTTAAAGAAGGCGTTAAGTACAGAGAATTGAATCTGAAGTTCGGTCGAACCGGAGAGATGTCTCTGAATCGGATGATAGAGATTGCCACCAAATACGCTAATGGTGAAGATGAGGATCGACTCCGGAGTGGCAAGCATAAAGCAGTCGCCCAGGAAACCGGAGGAAATTCCAGTCGGAAACAGAAGTGGAAAGCCGAGCCAGCCACTCCTGGGGAGGCCCTGGCCGTAACCCAGGAAAAATTTAAGGGAAAACCCAAAGGACCTTGGAACCCCAAGAAAGTTAAAGACCAAGATGGAAATGATGTTTTGGATCTACCGTGTCACATCCAAACCAAGAAAGATGAAGAGGGTAAACTCATTTACCCAAAGCATACCACTCGACAGTGTCGGCTTCTGATCTAGCAGTTTCAGGGCAAGCAGTCCAAAGATAAGGAAAAGGAGTCGGACAAAGTTGAGGACAAGGAAGATAGTGACGATGGGTACCCCCAGGTCAATTCCACCCTGATGATTTTTGCTGATGTTGAGAGGAAAAGTCGACTGAAGGTTATTAACCGTGAGGTAAATATGGTTGCTCCGGCAACACCCAATTATCTGAAGTGGTCCCAGACTGCCATCACATCCGACTAGTCTGATCACCCTACGCACATTGCCACCCCTGGGAGGCAAGCTCTGGTGGTCGACCCAGTTGTCGAAGGCACTCGACTGACCAAAGTCCTGATGGATGGAGGCAGCGGTTTGAAAATACTGTATGCAGAAACATTGAAAGGGATGGGCATTCCGATGTCCAGGCTCAGCACCAGTAACATGAGTTTCCATGGAGTCATTCCTGGGAAGAAAGCCGAGTCACTCGGCCGAATTGCTCTTGATGTGGTTTTCGGTGATTCCAAGAATTACCGCAAGGAAAAGTTGACATTCGAAGTTGTGGATTTCCAAAGTGCTTATCACGCTATTTTGGGCAGGCCAGCTTATGCACGCTTCATGGCTCGACCATGTTATGTGTATCTCAAATTGAAGATGCCTGGTCCCAAAGGTGTGATCACTGTTACAGGCAATCGGAAGAAAGCAGAAGAGTGTTTTCAGAAAGGCTCAAAGATTATTGACGCTCAGATGGCGGTAGTCGAGCTGCAAGAGTATCAGAAGACTGCAGATCCAAGTAAGTTGCTACGAGCTAAGAAGCCTGCTTCAGAATCAGCTTTTCAGTCGTCCGGTGAAACGAAGGCAGTTCACATTCACCCGACCGATCCAAACGCTGCTCCGACTCACATCTCAACGACGGTCGACTCCAAATAGGAAGAAGCGCTCATCCAGTTCCTCCGTGAGAACTGGGACATCTTCGCATGGAAGCCTGCTGACATGCCTGGAGTTCCCAGGGGGCTGGCTGAGCACCGTCTACGAGTCGACCCAAAATTTAAACCTGTGAAAGAACATCTTCAACGGTCCGCCGTCCAGAAGAGGAAGGCCATTGGCGAGGA